CGCCGCTTCCGGACGAGCTGGATGCTCCGTCGACGAAGATGGTCCACTTGTGTTCTTTCCCCGGGGAAGGGTCATGAGTGGTCATTTCCGCGACAAAGTCGGCCAAGGCCTGTGCTTTCAGGGCTTTCCTACTTTCGTACTGAATGTCGAATTCGGAGAGTTCCAAGGACCATTTTAGCATTCTCCCTGCCATATCGGGCCGACCCAGGAGTTGCCTCACCGGTTGGTCGGTTCGCACGATGCTCGTGTGGGCCAGAAAGTAGTGTCTGAGCCTCCTCGCCGCATTGACGAGGGCCAGAGCCACCTTTTCTATCTGCTGGTATCTGCTTTCGGGCCCTTGTAAGGCCTTGCTCATGAAGTAGACGGGTTTCTGCCCGTCGGGGGTCTCGCGGACAAGAGCTGCGCTGATGGCTTCGTTCGAAACGGCCAAGTATAAGTACAGCGGTTCTCCGTCGTCTGGTCGAGATAGCACGGGCGGCTGAGACAGACTTTTCTTTAGGTGGCGTAGTGCCTGCTCGCATTCCTCATTCCATTCGAAGGCTGCTTCCTTTCGAAGGAGTTTGAAGAAGGGGAGGGCGTGCTGAGCAGATTTCGCGACGAAGCGGGACAGCGACGTGAGCATGTCGTTCATGATTTGTATCGACTTCTTCGACGTCGGTGTTGGGAGGTCGGAGAATGCCCGGCATTTATCGGGTTGGCTTCGATTCCCCATTCTGTTAGATAGAATCCAAGGAATTTTCCTGCCTTAACCCCGAACGTACATTTCTCGGGGTTGAACCTCATTTTAAACTGTCTTGCTTGGGCAAAGACTGTCTTGAGATGAGCTGCGTGGTCGGTGTCTGCTCGGGACTTGACGATCATGTCGTCCATATATACCTCGAGCATGTCTCTGATCTGTTTGTTGAAAACTCTGTTCATCATGCGCTGGTAGGTTGCTCCGGCATTTTTCAATCCGAAGGGCATTACGTTGTAGTAATAGTTGCCCGAGCTGGTCATGAATGTCGTGTAGTGTTTGTCGCCCAGGGCCATCGGTATTTGGTTATAGCCCGAGTAGGCGTCCATGAACGACAAAGTTTTGTAGCCGGCCGAGTTGTCGACCAGCATATCTATGTTAGGCAAGGGAAAAGCATCTTTTGGGCAAGCCCGGTTGAGATCAGTATAATCAACGCACATTCTCCATTTTCCATTATTCTTTTTCACGAGTACAACATTTGACAGCCAGGTGGAATACCGGGCTTCAGAAATAAAATTTGCCTCTATGAGGTCTTTTACAGCTTTTTCAGCAGCCTCCGTTTTTTCTGGAGACTGCCTACGCCTATGTTGTACTATGGCCCTAGCGGCTGGATCAATGGCGAGGTGGTGACAGGTGACCTCAGGGTCGAGTCCGGGCATCTCCGTAGCGCTCCAGGCGAACAGATCAACATTCTCGCACAGACAGGCCTTGATTTGCTTCCTGGCCAAGTCGGGGAGGTCTTTACCAATCTTCACTCCCTTGGTCGGGTCTGTGCCAAGGGGAACGAGTTCAAAATCCCCGTCCGGTATTGGTCGGAGTGGGATTTGCTCGCTGCTGGATGGCTCGTCCTGGTCGAAGCGGGTGTCCAGAGCTATGGAATCGACCTTTGGTGGAGCTTTCTGGACTTCTTCCTCGGGGGATGCTTTCCTGTCGGGCTCCTGTTTTGTCCTTTTGGCGGGTCTGGTCCCTATGTCGACGGTATCACGTCCCTTAGAAGCGGCGTTGAAGCACCTGCGGGCAGCGGCTAGGTCTCCTTGGATGGTGGCTACCCGTGCCCTCCTGGTGTAGAACTTCATCTTCAGGTGGACGGTCGAGGGCACCGCTGTCAGTTCTGCCAGCGTCGGTCTCCCCAAGATGCAGTTGTACAGAGACGAGAAGTCAATGACGAGGAAACGGACTTTGACTTGTCTTGTAGCCGTTCCTTCGCCGAACGTGACTAGAAGCTCGACATATCCCCAAGGTTTGGAAGTCGAGCCGTTGAAGCCTTGTAGATCCGACCCCACATACGGAGAGAGATGTGAGTCGTCCAACTGTAGGGTTCGGAACAGTTGGCTGTACATCACGTCGACGGAACTCCCTTCGTCGACCAGGATGCGATGCACATCAAAATTGGCCATTCTTTCCCTTATCAGTAAAGGGATGACCGCGTTCGGGGCTCCGCCGGGGAGCTCTTCTAGGTAGAAGGTGATGGGCTCTGACCTGCCCTTCACCCTTTCGAACGTTACTGTTTGCGGGGGAGCCGCGTCGACCAGCTCGTCCAACTTCCTCTTAGCTGAATTGATGGTGAGGTCGTTGAACCCGCCCCCATTGATGACCATGGCGGAGGGAAAGTATTCACACCTGCTGTGCGTTGTCAGCGGTTCCTGCAGATGCTCGGGAATGTCGAAGTCCTCGGGCCTGGTCACCGAGAAGGCGGTCTGGATAGGCACCGACTCGTCTGATGGTCGGGCGTCTTCTTCTGGCTCCTTGGCTTCATGGGCGTCACGACAGGGAGCGTCGTTTCGCCGGTACTGCGCGAGCCTCCCTCCCTTGATAAGGGTTTCAATGGCGTCCTTGAGGTGGACGCAGTCCTCCGTCAGATGACCATGACTCCTATGGTACTGACAGTATTTATTTTTGTCCGCCCCAGGCTTGGCGGGAGCAGGTTGGGGACGCTTAACGCCGCCGTCCTTGAAGTCTGTACTGGCACACTCCACCAGAATACGCTCGCGGGAAGCTGTGAGCGGAGTGCACTCGGTGAAACGGCCCGAGGGGCCCCTTTGTTCCCGGACTTCCCGGGGTCTGTCTTCTTTCCTTTTCACCCCGGTCCGTCGAGGAGGAAGTGCTTCCTGGCGCGAGCTATTGTTAGGCCCGCGGGTCCTGGAGTCTCGGGCCCTGTTGGCCGCTTCCCTCTCCTCGTAATCCATGTATGCCCGAGCTTTTTCGAGGAGGGCGTCGAAAGTCCTGGGCGGCTCAATACCCACGGCTTTCCTAAACTCTGTCCCGGGGAGGAGCCCCTTCTCCAGCAGATATCTCTTCATGTGGTCCGCGCAGGGGACCTGTATCGCTTCTCGGTTGAAGCGGTTGATGAACTCCCTCAAGGTCTCATCCTGTCTTTGGATGATGGCCTCGAGAGCCGCCTCGGTCTTTGGATGGCGTCGAGAAGCGGTGAAGGAACTGATGAACTGGTTCTTCAGGTTCCGCCACGAGGTGATTGAGCTTGGGGCGAGTCCTTTGTACCAGTCCATGGCCGCCTTCCTGAGAGTCGTGGGGAAAAGACGGCACTTGATGGGCCCCCCGACATTATGATAATGGAGCATAGCCTCGAACCCGTCAATGTGGTCGACCGGGTCCGCGACTCCATCGTACTCCTTCAGATGTGGGGGCTCCTCCATGCCCGGGGGGATGGGTGCATCCATGATGGCCTGCGACAGGGGACCGTGGGGGTCGTCCTCGTCGCTCCTCTCCGGAGACAGAGATGGGGACATGTAGTATTGTCTGGCACGGCGGTCGTGGTCGTGCTGAGTCTCCCTCGAGCGTGATGCCCGTTGGTTGAATGTTACACGCCCGTCTCCGGCGTGTCTCTTGTCGTGCCTTGCCGGATCGCGACTGGGTTCTCCGGCAGGGATGACGGGTTGTCTCTCCAAATAGGGTCGCCTCTGCTTTGGCCGAGGAGATGGGCTTCGAGAGTTTTCCCTGTAGTGTCTCCGCGGGGGAGAAGGGTGTCGGGCTTCAGTCACTCGAGGAGGGGGAGTATGTGGTCTTCGATGCCTCCTCGGGGGTCTTCGCTCGTCTTCAAGCGCCTTTAATCTCTCTCCTTGGGCGAAGATGAGATAGTTCGTTTGATTAATTGTTGTGAACAGCGCTTGTGTGGTGGCGTCCGCCCCGGAGGGGACGGGGACTTCCTGAAACCGGGCGGCTCTGTAGTGGGCGAGGGCCGTCGGGTCGTCCTCGAGTGGTGGTGGGAGCAAGGAGGATGATGCAGTAGCCCCGTCCCTGTATGAGGAAGTTCCGGGGGCGGTTGTTGCAGGAATGGTGTTGTGGCCGGGATTGCCGGCGTTGTCGAGATGTCCGTTTTTGTCCGCCGTGCCGTTATTAGTGTCGGCGACACGGACGTTCTGCTCATCACGAGCTGGATCAGCCATGACAGGTAGTTGAATTTGAGCTTTGGTCTTTTGAGTTGTTTGTAAGACGGGGAAGCTAGTTTCCCACAGACGGCGCCACTGATCTAACCTGATCAGACTTGGACCGTCACGGCTGGCTCCGAGCTGAAAGTTTTGAACGAGGTGGGGGGTACCTGCAAGATACTCTGATGATGAAATGAGTAAGAACACGAGCAGGCAATAGTAAGAGTATGGGTAGAATGATGAATACCTGACCCTCTGGAAACAGGGGGTATTTATAGCCCCCAGCGCTGGGCCAAGGTTCCTTCATTGGGCCGGGAAGGTTTGGCCCAATGGAGGAACTGCCAGGTTCTACGTGCGTAGTGGGGACCCGCACGTGGTCCCCTCCCTGGATGTTCTGCGTGAAGTGCGGGCGGACAGAGACACAGTCTTTTCGGGGTCTCGTTGAGAGTGCAGTGGACTGAGTCTGTCCTATGAGGGGTGCTCGAGGTGAGGTCGAGCTGGGCAGCAGGGGGTCGAGCTGGGCAGCAGGAGGTCGAGCAAGTAGTCTCATGGAGCACGTCGGGCACGACTGTGACCCTTTGGTCGGCATGGCCCTAAGCAAGTCCGTTTGGATTGGGCCTTATCAATGCTATTGGGCCAGTCGGGCCCAGTCCAGAACACTAATTATCTAAATTATTCTAAAATACACTATACCTTCTTAATTCTTACCACCCTATCATACACTACACAAAGCATCATATCAAGCATCATGACTGTCCATACATCACATAAACATCACAATTAAGTCAGAATTTCCGAACATAAATCAATCGAATAATTAAGTAAATTATCTAATTATTTTTGGGTGTTACAGTTACCACTCACACTGTATTAGTAAACGGTTACCCACTGCAGTAGGTGTTGGTACAGTGGGCAAGTTGCTCGCCTGATGAAGCATCATAGGAAGATTGGGATCCATTCTGCAAGTTTTTTTTACGTCTTTGCACCTTGAGAACAAGGTAATGTTTGAAGGAGGGAGGAATGGTAAACCCCCATAAGCCCAACCCAAAATAGTTCCCCAAGGCCCAATGAAGATGAGTCAGCTGATGAGATAGTTCAGGAATTGGGAAAGAGACATCCTAAAAAGCCATCATGGATGAAGGATTATGTGTGCGACTGAAGGATCTAGAATATTGTTATTCTTTTTAATTTCATTTCTGTTATGCAATTTCCTTTTCTTGAAAACTTGTTGGGTTGTTAGAGTTTGTCAACACCTAATCTTCTTTTTATAGTTGTACCGGAGGATCATTGGTCATGAGGAATGTTAAGAAGATTCTTTTCCCCCTTAATTAGTTTCTTTCTTCTTCTCTTGAGGAGCCAACACTCGCTCGAAGAGTGTCGATTTTGATAACCTAAGTGCAGTAGGTGTATCACATTTTCTCTTAACCTAACTCATTTGTTGTCGCTCCAAATTCATAAACATAATTATTTGAGATGGATTGCAAGACAATTTTTTCAAGGTTTATTCCTTAATTATTTAGAAATATTTCAAGGTTGTTGTTATTGTTGTTACATCCATGCATTGATTGAATAAAATAATAATACTAACCTTGAAGTAAAATTTTCCAGCTCTTACAATCTATCTCACAAAACTGAATCTTGAAAATTTTAGTTTGAATATTAATGTAAAAGTTCACATTACCTAATAAATGGATTTGCTTGAAATTTGACCTTAATAATCAAAGGCAAAATTTTCAGAATAGCAAAAAGTTAAAAAAATATTGCAACCCATAAATAAATTGGTAAATGATAAAAATTTTGAAAAATAAAGCAATACATGCTACTACTTTCTTTTCAAACTTTTTTTTAAAATATCTGTCATCTATTATCTTGGTTGGTTACACCGAGTGAAAATGTCTTTGTTTTATTTTTTATTTAAAAAATAAATAATTTATTGTCTCGAAGGAAATTCGAAGGGAAAAGCAATTCAGTTTTTTCTATAAACGAATCTTTATCGTCTATTTATAAAATAACAATGATGAAAATATTACAAATACATCAATCTACATAAAATATTAATAATCCACGTGAAACCCTCACCGGCCAATCATAACATGAATGCACAAGGATATATCTTGGATTCAAATTCCTAAAAGACAAATAGTGTGATAATGAAAGTACTTAGATTGTAACCAATGAAATGCAAACTTAAAGAAATGCAAATTTAAAGAAGTGTGGAAACAATCTCTAAAATGAATTGCAAGAACAAATATATTTTTTTTAAGTTTAAGGTTGACTCCTTACATAATATCTTTTCTTATGAGAGTTAACATTATTTTCTTCATCTAACTTTTGTTATTTTTATACCAGAAACAAATATATGCAAACCATTGATTTTGAAAAGCACATGAGCCTGGAACAAAACTTAGAATTTGAGGTTCTACAACACCGAGTGCATGATGATGAAGATTTAGAATATATCAAAAAATTTAAAATTTTAAAATTGAAATTAAAATATTGTAAAATTATTATTTTTATTTTAAATAAACAATATACATATATATATATATATATATATATATATATATATATATATATATATATATATATATATATATATATATATATATATATATATATATATATATATATATATATATATATATATATATATATATATATATATTATTGATTGTGATCGAATCCTTGACTCGTACAAATTTTTTTCTCTGATGGAAATTCAACCAAAAGAAAAAACGATGCACTTTTCATGATACTCTTGTTATCTCAACCATCAAACTAAAGTAAAATCTATTTTCAAACCGAAATAAAAGTTGTGATTGTGTTCCCCTGTCACTAAGCTCGTCACATTACCTATATAGGACAATGGTTGAAACTTGGATCATAAATTCTAACATTGTTTTTCTCTACTCGTTGTCTCAAGCTACCTCTTACCATTGAGGAATATTGTTAATGGAGAATTAGGGCATAATACATATCTTCACATATCAAATAATTACATTTATTATTCAAACTTGTTACACATATTTCATATATGACACGTCACTTAACTCACATATTACATTTCGTTGACACGTAATCACTTATTCGTATTTCTTAACATCATTTAATATAGACATGTAATCGTAATTTTTACTCACCTACATCAAATATAGAGATTTTCATATAATCTTACATATAGTATGCATAGCACATCTACCATATAAGAACTTTCTAATCTTTGGAAAGTCCACCGATACCTTTTGCTCAAACTAATCCATGTTAACACTTTTATGTGAAAACCTGTTTTTCTTTACCCCTGTCATAACAAACCAATTGTTTACCTCCATTCACACTCTACTTGGATACCAATATAAACTGAATTACAATATCACATTTCAACCCAATTGGTATTGAGGGCTCATAGCTAAAAAGTTTTCACAGTTACCGAAGTGTCCCATCTATATAAATAGATTGGTACTATAACCTAAATTTATCACTTCCTTTCGTTGGTACCTCCTCGTATATGAACTCATAATCTCCTCTTCTCACTATCAAATCTAAATCTAAATTCGAATTTTCAGCTTCATTCAACATTATCAAACAACATCTAAATAACGAGACCTTTCGACATGATTGGAGACATCAATGACCGAAAAGAGTTGTGGAAGCTCTCCGCTAAAATACATCACACATGGAAGGTTACCACAACCAACAAGGAGCATTTTGAGATGGTGGTAATAGACAAACATGTGAATTTATCCATTCACCCCTATTATACTTTATGGAGATTATAATATGTTTGTTCTTAAGCATTTAATCATTTTGTATGGTATGGTACGATCAATGTGTTGTAGAGAAACAATATTTTTGTTTCATGCTACGTCTGAAATTGTTTTAAGATGAATATTTAATGCGAAACACGTGTTATCTATTTTGGATTTGTTATGAATATTTAGCATATCTCTGTAAAGGTTTTGTTAAAGTTTTCGGTCGTGGTTTTATTGTATCTTGATGATTGTTGTTGAAAAATATTGTGGAATAAAATATGGTTCTTTATTACTTTGTTTTGTGCTTTGTTGATATGTTTGTTCTATAGGACATTGAGTTTGTTTAATGAATTTGTTGCAGGGCCATGACATTCATGTGGTTGTTCCAACTATGTTTAGGTAATCATTTGACTCTATTTTATTTTTTAACTTAAGTTGCACCATGTAAAACTTCCAAGTGGTGCCTAATGACTTGATATTTAAACCTACAAACCACAAATATATTTTGAAATTCACTGGTGGAATAACCATCGCAGATATCGACAAACATGATATCTCTGAAAAGATGACTAACTTGACCCCATTTGCTGATATTAGTTTTGGCAAATGGTAGAAGACTCTCTTAACTGGTATTGTTCCTAATTAAGTCGTTTCCCTTTTTCATTACACCCTTATTTGTATGCTTCATTTCCCTAACTACTGAAAGTTTTTATAGACGTCATCGGGTGGTAGACGAAGTTGGATACCCGCAGTCGCAAATGGGGGGAAAGAAAGCTCAAGTCAACTTCTTCTTGAGAGATTTGGGGTATGTCTCTAAAACTATCCAACTTTCATATTCAATTTTTATAGGTTGTATGTTCTACGTCCATACACTAACTACCTATGTCTTACACTTTGCATTCTACGTTATGAGAAGGGACACAATGCAATATTTTGAGTTTAGACAGAAACAACTTGATCCTTCTGCACCAACTATCATACTCTTGAAGTATGCAAACGTTAAATAATAAGGTTATTACTCTCTTATACTCAATTTAATTTGGTTTAAATTTGTAATTTACTTATCCGTGTTTCTATTTTGGATATCTGTAATCCCATTATGTGTTTGTAGGGAAATTTCTGCTTGCTGTTACTAATAATTACAATGGTGCCAAAATACACATCAATGACGATATCCCGGAGATCAATAACTAAATAAAAAACTAATAACCACCCTTATTTGGAAGCCTAACCTTGCAATCGCAAATGTGTCCATGAGCTTTGTCTGAACCAGTATTCCACTTTTATCCATGGTTGTAACTTATTTACCTTAGAAACAGAGGAAGTAATATGTTTTGAGCTGATGGAATTATTGACATAAAAAAGGATCTCAAGTGGTATTCCTATCACGTAAGGATGCGTTATTTGTATTTAACCAACTTTTTTCACGTGGGCACACTAAGAGTCCGATTATTTATGACACACATCAAACTTTTGTGACTTTGGAACTTTATTTATGTAACCTTTATTGTTGTGAGTTGTGAAAAGCATGCACGTGTATATAGTGGTCCACTTTGCTTTGAAAATGATTTTTACAACAACACTACAAATTATTATAACAACAATATCTTCTCTATACCTCCTCTTACTGTCCTTCTCCAACCATATCACAATTATTATTTAACCACACTGTCAAAAACATACTACTATACTTTTTTTAAGAAAACACTCATTAAACCCTTTCAGACATTACCATGAATTATCAGCCTCTCCTCCACTATCATTCATCATTGCAGTGGAATACGATTACTAGTGTAGAAATGACTTTTTACATCGGGTAAAATTGACTTTTTACATCGGTTTTGGGTCCGATGTAAAGTCAGGTGATATAGTAAATCAGGGACTTTTTACATCGGTTCTGGGACCGATGTAAAAAGTCCCATTTTTACATCGGTTATAATATCAGAACCGATGTAATAACCTGTTATTATGCACAGTTTTTAAAAAATTGATCCAGTTTTTTACATCGGTTGGAAGTAATACCCGATGTAAAAAGTACCTTTTTTACATCGGTTATAATATATGAACCGATGTAAAAAACAATTATTATGCACATTTTTTTTAAAAATTGATCCAGTTTTTTACATCGGTTGGAAGTAATACCCGATGTAAAAAGTCCCCAGTGACGCGACTTTTTACATCGGGTATTACTTCCAACCGATGTAAAAAGTCCCTTTTTGAAAGTTTTTACATCAGTTTTACTAATAACCGATGTAAAATGTATGAAATTTTTTTGGAATAGATTATTTATTTTCTGGGTTTCCCTATACAAATATAATTTGTACCCATTTTTTCATATTTTTCCAATATCAAACAGACTATATTTATGTCGCTATATAGATTTCATAGCTTTCCAACATCACATATATCACATTTAGGACGATGTTTTCATATTTTTCACAACAAACTTACAAATTGAACAATTGTATTGCAAACTTGTATTATATTACAACATACAAACTTACAATTACAAATTCTTCACAAAATATAAAACAATATTCAACTATTTATAAGTCTTTTTCAAAACTTACAATTACATAATATTCACAAAATATACATATACTAAAATATTCAACTATTTCTAAGTTTCCAAACTTGAATTACCAATATAAAATCTTCGGTAGACAACACCAAAATCATATTGCCTGACAATAAATAATAACAATTAACATCAGCAAAAAAATCAAGAAACTCAACACATGAGCAAAAACCACATGTATTGTGCAAAAACCACAACTTATACAATTCTATAAAACTCACCAAGCTAAACTTAAGTTCCATGTAAGTCAAAGAAACATTTTGCCCAACGAAGTCGCAAATCATACAAATCATCTGGTGTTAATTCTGTTGGGTCATCAAATACCTATAATACATAAATATAACAATATAGAGTTATTTTTTAAAAATTCATATTAAGTCGAAAAACAAAAAGTAAAGAACAAAGTAAAGTTATTTTTAGTACCTGCATCCAATTCTCGGTTATATTAGCAGAGACAATATCCAACATATTTTTCATCACATAGTATCCACAATCATTAGAGTTATGTTGTTGCCTTGTCTACAATTGAATGACATAATTAGTGAATATTTATCGTATATATTTAACTATAGAATTACAATTTACATCACACTTACATTGGGATGAAGCCATGTAGCCTTTTTTCTATTTCCATTTGCCATTTGATGAATCCCAAAAGAACTAATACATAAAGATATAAACATCACATAACTAAATATACTCGCCAATGAAAAATCACATAACTATTAGTTGTCAATGAAAGTCACATGAAAGATAAACTTACTTTGTAATAATTTTCTTCGTGTTCTGGTCAATTTCCCGATGAAGTGAACAAAATACGACAACTAAATTGTCTCTCACTACTACGGAAAAGGGCTTTTAAAGCGCTTATTTTGGCCTTTAAAAGCGCTTAAAAGCGCTTTAATAGCTGGCGCTGGCGTAGGTAACAAAAGCGCTTCTAAAAGCGCTCTGGTAGACCCCCCCTTTAAGAGCGCTTTCTTGGAAAAAGCGCTCTGGTAGGACCCCCTATAAGAGCGCTTTCCTGGAAAAAGCGCTCTGGTAGGCCCCCCTATAAGAGCGCTTTTCCAAAAGCGCTTTTGTATGCTGCGTTTTTTTTTTAATTTTTTATGCTTTTTTACTGGTCTTTGGCAGCGCTTTTACTAAGAAGCGCTTTAGTAGGTGGACCTTTAAGAGCGCTTTTTAAAAGCGCTGTCGTTTCTAAATGAGGTATTTTTATGTGCAGCCTATAATTTAATCCTCCCAGTCGACCTGTAATGTTTTCGACCTGTAATATTTTCGACCTGTAATATATTTTTGACCTGTAATATATTTTCGACGCTATTATTTCAGCCATCAGTAAGACAATATATATACTAATATAATACCATTATAATATCCAAAATTATATATATACATCATTACATCAATAATATTATAGTTCAAATCGACACAAATCCTACATGAAAAATTGCTTAATATAATATTGACACAAATCTTCTTTAATTTCTTCCAACTTAAGCTTCGGGTACCCAGCAGCACGGAATTCGTCAAGGTACTACAAAACAAAAACATAATATAAATGATATATTTAGTTAAATGTAATAAATTATATGAAATTATCTTAAGTTATAAATTCATACCGTGAGCGGAATCTCTAATTGATTCGCCTGAAGGATTTCTTTCATGAACCTCAAAACAAAGTATCCGCAATCATGACTGTTTCGCTGTTGCAGACACTACATAATAAAACAAATAAGATTCTATAGTTGTCTTGTTTTACCAAGTAGCATAAATATTATAAGCAAAATTGTGAAAAGTAATGTACCTGCACTTGGATCCAAGTGATGTTGTTTGATTTAGTCCGGGATACCTGTGCGTCCCGTTGACTACGGAACACTTGTATTGATCTAATTATTAAATATATAAAAGCATATGTTTAGATCAATCCCACAAATAAGAAAATATATAAATATACACGAATATATATTTAGAACGATCCCACTTACAAATCAACGATTTCCTTCATAGCCGGATAATTGGTCCATTCACCATTTACCGAATTCAGATAATACACGACTTCTCTTATCGGGTTGATAGCAAGCAGCAACCAGTGTGCTCTATAAATTAAAACAATAGGTTATATGAAAATTTTGCTATACACAAAAGAAACAAAGATTAGATGAACCAAGAATGAGAAACTAACCCTACTGGTCGGGTATTATACGCCCAAAGATGCAGACTTTCTGTATTGCCGGTGGACATGAATCTATCTACTAAGCGCTGTCTAACTGATTCCGGTTCCGAAGCAATTGTCATTCCGCTGCAATGGGAAATAATGAAATTGACATCATGAATATTCCACATGCATGTCGAAATAATGAGTATTACTTAATATAATCTAAAAGTAAAATATTATAATTTAATTACATTACTTTTCTTTCTTAATAATAAATAGATAAATATATGAAATTAAAATTGTAAGAAATCTCTTTTAAATAAAAAGATGTTTTAAGTTTGAACTTAATTTTTGATAGTCTTGTTTAAAATTTTTATTGTATGTGTAGTAGATGTGTCAACAAATATCAAAATACAATGACTAAAATTATGAGTCCACGAGGAAAGATGATAATACAATTTATATGTAATAATTACTATTCTAAGCAAACAAGAGCTTTGTTTGAAAAATGTTTTGAACATAAAAAAATATAAAGTAAAAATAACAATGATAGAAAGTTTTTGGGGGGTTAGGATGTAATTAGTGATTACTATGATTACAGTTATATCAATATCAATTATACACATTTTATCCCTTAATCCATATTTTCACTTCACTATACAAACTCAGCATTTAATTTCAGCAGATTCACACTCTTAACTATACAAACTCAGCATCTAAGCTTACTACTACTAAGCCATATGCTGGATGTTAAACAATATCTAAAGAGCAATATTAGAGACATTGATTGATCTATCTATTTCAAGCATATTGAAAAGAAATTCAAAAAAAGATATATAATATAATGATATTCACCAAAAAAGATATATAATATAATGATAGGCCAGTGGAATTGCAGATAAGGGTAGGATCAATACTGAAGAAGGTTCATATTTTGAAGGCAGGGTGTTCGAAGAGAGTGAAAAGTAAAGGGATATATAAGGCTTATATGCCTGGGAGAAGTGGAAGCAATGATGTGGGATTGAAGAGTTTGTTGTATTACTATGATGAGACTTGTCAACCTTATATATGGATTCATGATGTAGGGGGTGGTTCTTTGAGGATGGTGAAACAACAGTATGTGAGTCTTGAGGATTTGAGGGAGTGTTGTGAGATTAGGATCTTGAGGGATCAACATAAGGGTTGCATTTCGGTTTGTAAGAGAACTAGACCTGATTTATGCTGAATTTGAATGTCACACTATCTAGTCTACATTGTTTGTTATGGGTGGGAAATAACAGTTTCATTTCTTGATTTTCTGTTTTCTTTTATTGTGTGTTATGAATTGCAGAATATACATATCCATTGTCATGTTTGATTGTTTTATTATATGAATTTTCTTGGAGATATAATATAGGCCACATAGGTTATAATATTACCCATTATAAAAACAATGAAATAACAAGATGTATGTGATTACTGATCTAGGATTCTAGTTGATACTACTTTTCATTGTTCATGTATTGTTTAACAAAAATACAATGGCACCTGCTGGTTACTACAGCAAATACATTCCCTCCCCATTCTTGATGTTGTTTTGGAAGGCATGTCCATGACTTTCATAACTGGAATTCCTAAATTGCACAGATTCAAGGCCATCCTATTACTTCCACTACTAATAGGGGACTCATTTAAAATTAGAACAAAGTTCTATATAGACCGTCCCTAACACATAAATTATTAGCACATAACATAATTTGATCCTAAAAGCTAGAGAGAAATACACTCTCATGTCTCAAGCCTTTCCCAAGAGATCAACTTTGCCTCCCAATCTTACGACTGCTTGTAACCCATTATTATTAGTCAAGCTGTCATTGGGTGCGTGTGTTCCTGCCAGTTTTATTTACTTGATAGCCTCTTTTACCTCTTCTACTCCATCCACACTGCCACCCGTCCCTTTCACTAAAGTTATAACATTTCTTCTATATCTCTCCTTCATAGAATTGTTGAAATATCTCATATTCTTATCGCCTTCTTTCAAGTCTTAGAATACTTTCCTTTAAGTTTAACATACTTTTGTTTAAGTTTAGCGTGTTCCACAACTCTATTGATTTAAGTCTTAACATACATTCCTTTAAGTTTAGCGTATTCCATAGCTCACCCAAAAATTTATTCCTATCCGTTGCAATCTCCTCATTATCTTCAACAAAATGATCTACGAATAAGCCAACCAAATCATTTAGAATTTTCAATTCCTCATTCACATTCAAATTAATCCACTTGAAACTCTCTTTATTCCACTCTTTAATACGAAGTTTTCTGCACTTCAGCTTCTCATACATGATATAGTCTCCTCTTCCCTCCACATCAATTTTAGCCCATTACTCTAAAATGAAGGGCTTGACACCCTTATGATTATGCAATGTTGAATCTGAAAGGCATATCCCCCCCAATCAGCCATCCCAGAATTTAGTCAAACAAGACAATGGTCTGAAATGTCTCTTTTTCCCACTTTTTGATCGATCACATTGCAATCCTCAATCAACTTACTTGAAATAAGAAATCTGTCAAATCTACTCATTACCTTTAAACCAAGTAAACCTTCCCCCTATACAAGGTATATCCACCAAGTTCATGTCTTCAATAAAATTTCTAACTCTTCCATATTTCTACTACTATGATTCTCCCCTGTGCCCAGTCTCTCCTCTCTATAAAAAACTTCATTAAAATTGCCTCATAAGCACCATTATTCATTAGTGCTTCTCTGTTTTCTATCCACCAAACTTCTCCATAAATTTATTCTATCAACCGTTGAACAAGCTGCATAAACATTAACAAAACTGTACACTTCTCCCTTCCACCCTACATTAATTCCTACAAACCCTTTACTAATGAAACTTAAATTAAGAGAAAGAGAATTTCTTCTCCAAAGGATTACCATACCTCCCGACGCTCCTCTGGAGTTACAAGTTATCCATTCCACCAACAACTTAAGTACTTGTGAATTTTAAGCTAGTATACACCTAAAATTAGGACCCGTAAATCCAACTTCATTTTCCTAACCCTCTAACATACCCTTAATTAGGAACAATCATGTAGAACATTTCACAAACAGTTAATATGCAATATCTAAAACTAAGAAAAATGAGTAAGAATTCTTACCTCAAACCAAAGAAATGGAAAAAGTGAAATGAACTTTTAGATCTTTCCTCTAACAAGTAACAGCCAACCTTCAAAATCCCTTGGGTTTCGTTCTTGCTAACTGTTGAAGGGTTTTGTAATAACAAGAAACTTTGAGAACGAAACCCTAATTAATGTAATAAAGTAAAGTAGTTAGAGTGGGTGATGATGAATCAATGTTGAGATGAAATTGAATGGGAAAGAAACAACACCTGAATGTAAATTACAGTTTGATGGGTTTTTTGGATGCAAATTACACCTGAATCAAAATTACAGTAGAATCAAACACTCTAGTCACGATTGTGTCGTTGATGCGAGGCGGGGGGTAATGGTGAGAGGACGACGAAGGGATGAACAGTGGATGGGAAGGGTCGACGAAGGGATGAACAGTGGATGGGAAGGGTCGACGAAGGTTCAAAGGTTGTTATGAAAGTGAGGACGACGAAGGATGAAGAGAGCTTGAATAGGAGCAGACGAATGGAGAAGAAGATGAACAACTGGGTTTCGTTTTTTGTATCAGTTGGGTTTAGAAATATGATTGTAAATTTAGGGGTTTAGAAATTATTTAACTAACCTATGCCAGCGCTTTTAAACAAGCGCTTTCGTATCCCCCCCCTATGCCAGCGCTTTTTAAAAAGCGCCTTCATATCCCCCACCTATGCCAGCGCTTTTATAAAAGCGCTTTCGTATCCCCCACCTATGCCAGCGCTTGTTAAAAAGCGCCTTCATATCCCCCACCTATGCCAGCGCTTTTAAAAAAGCGCTTTCGTATCCCCCACCTATGCCAGCGCTTTTAAAAAAGCGCCTTCGTAGGTTTCCCTTTTTTTTAATTTTGTTTTTTGTGAAGGCTATGGCAGCGCTTTTTCAATAAGCGCTTTCGTATCCCCCACCTATGCCAGCGCTTTTAAAAAAGCGCCTTCGTAGGTTTCCCTTTTTTTAATTTTGTTTTTTGTGAAGGCTATGGCAGCGCTTTTTCAATAAGCGCTTTAGTAGAGGCGCTGGCAAAAGCAGTTTTTGGCGTAGTGTCTTGGACACATGACTATTAATTGCCAATGTCTCCTATACGTGTGTGTGGAAACAGAAAAGTCGCATAAAATATATATGTTATCAAAATCAAAATTAAATAACATAAAACACAATTTCATAAAAATTCTTACCCATGAATTAATGGTAGTAAGTGGCACGCTCTGTTTTCATCACGTAACTTTTCTAGCACGTAATTTTTAACATCTTCTTGAGATTTCACTACATTATCATTATAAATACACCTAGCAGGGTCCATAAATCCATATAATTCTGAAACGGAATTCTCAAGACAAACACGATGAATATACCTGAATAATTTTAAAATTAACATTAGAATCAAAGTGATGAGAGATATAACATATTAATAGAGATTGACTTTAATAAAACAATAAAATTTACTTACGTGCACCAAATTTGAAGAATAGACACGTCAAGCCAATGACCTAAACCCACCAATAACTCTCTGATACATTTAGCTGAAACATAAAAATTAGAGACACTCGCACAATGACTTAATTGTATTTCCAAATGGTTATCATCCAATTTCAAAACCATGAGTAACAATCTCTGAACATCATCAACTTCCACGTCTTTTGTGCTCTCTTTTGTGCTTCCCTTTGCAGCTGAACAACTTCCTTTTCCGCTTCCATCAATAATTTCCAATTTTTGAATGCATTTAATATCACTTGTGCTTTGTGATAAACCCATAGACTTAAGTGTCTCCATTAATGATTGCTGAAACATCTTACGCTCTTCAACCAACTTTTCTTCAAGTTCAGCTCTAAGTTTTGTTTCCAATATCGCAAGTTGTTCATTTGCGTCGATATGTTGACTTTTTCTTCCAAAGTAAGTACTTTGTTTATGGTGTTTTCCAACACCACGAACACGACCTCCATGCTCAGATGTTCCAATGGCTAATGATAAGATATCGTTACGTACATCTGGAACAATTGCACCTTTTTCAGCTTCTTGAACAAGAGAATCCTACAAAATGCAAAAACATCAATTAATCAATCACAAATATAATGATACTTTGTAATAATTTTTCGTTGTTTACTTACAATTTTTTGGGCAACCTCTTGTGTAGATTTTGATGTGTATTCTCCTCCTTTCTTTTGTCGTGCTCTCTTCCATAACTCATGGCGTGATGGTGGAGATTGACTATCATTATCATCTAATGTGGAATTATCTCTCGATGATGACTTTTCTTTCATAATTTTCTCCTCAAGTAAGCGATACCCTCCACGAGACAATACATGTGGGTATAAATTCTTGGCCACATTATCCTTACCCTTCTGACTTTTTTCCTATTATAAACTCAAACAAATAATTAATCACTAAATATAATAAAAATGTTATGCACACAAAAACATATAACTCCTACTAACCTTAAATTCAGGGGTATCTCGAATCTTGAGAAACTCTTTCCAGGCGTCTTCTGTAATAAAGTTATAGTTGACATATGGAGGAGGATCATTTTCTATGGGATGATGAATATATCTATCTGTGAGTTGTGTCTTAAAACCTCTCCATCGCTCTCCCGCATATTTAATCCATTCTTTCTTCAACCTATCATTCTTTGGATCTTTACATTCTGGAATAGTAAAATGAGCCTACAAATGTAGTATATGTCATATGTTGTTAATTAGTATATGATTATAAAATATAATAAAGTATTGTATTTAAAATACCTGAATATCAGTCCAAATAGCATCTTTTACGCCTTCATCTACTTCTTTCCAATCATTTTTCACAATGCTACAATACTGTCGAGCAAGAGATGCTATATAACTCTTGAAATTTGTAGCATTTTTACCAACACCAATACATTCATAGGTTCTTGCATTAAACTCGACCTTTATCTTTTCACCTGTTTGATGAACTTTGTCAATTTGTGTCATTAAAGTGGGACCTCTAACTCTTCTTTTATTGGGGTTTGAATCACCCATGTATCTGTTTACACAAAACAAAAATAATTAGAAATAATATTAAGCACAAAATAAAAACAATTAGAAATAAAATTAAGCACAAAATAAAAAC